CCGTTGTGGCCAGACAGAATGGGTTTGTGTAGTGTGTGTGTGTTTTCTTTCGTACTCCCCAGTTTGGATCATGCATTGGTTGGATTGCAAGCCGTGTGCAAAGCTTGGACCATTTCAGGGGTGTCTGAAAGAGGTGCTTCACTCGTAACCAAGTGAGTATGAGGGGCTGGTTGTAGGCCTTTCTGGTCTGACGTTCTCATGACGAACTCGGCTGCCTCGTGCAGTATCCTCATGGCAAATCCCACACGTGCAGTGGCTGTTTCATCAGGCAGGCCCACAGCTGCTGCCTCTTGCCACTGGTCACAGTTGTGCTGTTGACTGAGTGGACCTTGGCTGACCTCAGGCCCTGTCCACTGGGCAGCTTCTAGCCTGCGTCACACTGCAACTTGGGGAACTTCGTTAATTAGCCAACGGTTCAGACCAGTTTCAGCGTCTCTGGGTCTATAATGGCTCTGTCTGCAGGTTGTCATTCCAGGTCAGCTAAGTCTCCAAGTGCTAATTGATGCCTTTAATTGCTCTGCTTAATTGTTCAGTCTTTCGGTTAATTTGTTTCTGCACTAGGTTTCATAAATACCCCAGTTAAAAGTATTTTGTGGTGTCTACTGTTTCCAACATACCAAAATTATAGCTGCCTCTCTACAACTTGCTCACCCTTATTTTTCACTAAACTGCATAGTAAGACATTGCAAGTGTTGAACAGATACATGAGGGAGAGACTTTTCAGATGGTCATTTTTTCTTGTTCTGAAGTAGAAATTCGTACAGGGTTAACATAAATTAAAATTTCATTTGAAAAAATTCCCTTTATAAAAGTGTGAAATCACTTACCCAGGACTCAGCTGGGCCAAAACCCAGAAGAAACAGCAGCCTGCTGGGACCAGGTTTGGGAACTAGTTGTCTCCAGGAACCGAAAAGCTCCTTTGTCACAACCAACTCAAGACCTCTGCTCAGTTGTGGGTGGCGAATAAACTGTAATCTGCACATGCAGGGCTCACAACTCCAGTGCTGGAGGAGAGGAAGGTTTCTAGCTTTCTATCCATCTGAAATCTTAATGACCTAATTATGCTATTTGCTCAACAGACAAGTTGAAGCAACATTTTTGCCTTGGATAGTTTACACATTGGTATGGATTAAACCTGGAATGTCTGGCCTCCTTGCAGTGTAAGTCTTCTTTTTTTTATTCTTCAAGCTAGGACTCGGATTGTATCCACAATCCACACAACCTCCAGTTTCTTCTGAAGAGCTGAGGTTTGGAAGGGGGAAGAATGAGGGACAACAGAACCAAGACAGGTGGGAGTCTGGCAACTTTCCAAGCCAAATCGTCCTCAGGCTGCTGAGGGGAGGCATGATTAGCACATTCACATGATTA